TGGTCTTGAACCTGATCTTCTCCTATGATGGGAGGAACTTCTTTCCCCCAGTCCCTGCCTCGAGGTTCAGGGGCTTGAGAGATGTGGGAAGAGAGATTGCCAGTGTCAGGGTGACTGAAGTCCCCCAGGAGGATCAGAGCCTGTGAGCGCAATGCTTCCTGTAGCTGGAGTAAGAACGCTTCATCGACATCCTCCCCTTGATCAGGTGGCCTGTAGTAAACACCAACCACGAGGTTTCCTTTGTTGGCTTTCCCCTTATTTTTACCCATAAGCTCTCAACCCGTTCATTGCTGTTTTTCAAAGACAGCTCTGTGCAGTCCATCCATTTTTTTAGATAGAGGGCAACCCCCCACCCCCACCCTTCCTTCCTTGCGTGTGCTTTCTGAACAGTTTATAGCCATCGACTGCAGCACTCCAGTCGTGCGATTCGTCCCACCAAGTTTCAGTGACAGCGATTAAATCATAGCTTTCCAGGTGCACAGTGGCTTCCGTCTTTTCCTGTTTGTTACCCATGCTGCGTGCATTGCTATAGAGGCACTTTAGTGGGCCTATCGACCTTGTCACCTTTTTAGAGGAACACAGCCTAATTCCTTTGAGGCATTTCACAGGTGTTTCCCTGTTGGTTCCTAATGCATCAGCAGCCCCTGGCTCTTGTCTGGTGCTCAGAACTCCATCCCCTTCCCCCAACTAGATCTATGTAATTTTAATTTCTTTTTAATATTTAACACGACATACAAAACATGCAATAAATGTTTTAGGAAGGAATTTAACCTTCCTGTAAACCAATTTAAAATCATTTACTACCAAAAGCAGCCTTTAAAAAATACCATGCTTGAGCAATGATGGATACTATAAAATCATCTTTCTTTGAAAAGAAAGCTCTATTCCTGATAATGGTCAGTTGGCCATAATACTGTAATTGATTGATGAGTCCTTCATACTGGAAACAGAACAGAAAGTATAGTAGACTGGAATAATAAACAAGACTTAAAATGTTTGACAATGTTATGTTGGTTTAATAGGTATCAAAACTGATAAGATTTTAGCAGCCACTGATAATACATAAATGTTTAATTATTGAAAAATGAAATGACAAAACGTATACATTTTGCTTTTTTAACAGCTAGAACTTTTATATATAAAACTTAAGCTAAAGACTACTGAAGTCGGTGGAAAGACTGTCTGACATTAATGGACTCAGGCTCAGGGCCATAGTGCATTCACAGGTGTCAGGTAGACTAGAGCCAGCATTGAAAGGAACCCAATTTTATCTTAAAATTAAGAAAAACTTAGAATTTGCAGTGACAAAAGCATATTCCATAGGGAAATATATTCTTAAAACTTCTAGAGACTTTCCTAAATGCAGTGAAATATCCACTCTCCTTTTCTTTAAATACAATGCTTACATCAACTCCAGTACACCTTCCTACTCAACAGAATTAAGGAAAGATGACACACACTACGTTTACATCCTTCCAAATCATTCCCAAAAGTTTCACGTGAGGCACAAAAAAATCACCACATCAAACCAAACCAAACCAAACCAAACCAAACCAAACCAAACCAAACCAAACCAAACCACAGTCATACGAGATGTTATCTGTGTTTAACTTACTAGGAATAGGTCTAAGGACATCAGGAATGAGAATCTCCACCAAAGCCTGGTACATCACATGGTCACAATTACCCATCCATTTCAGAATAGACTCATTTTTGCACAGAGTTATCAGTTTTCCTTTTGGAAGTCGACTTTCTATTTCACTCAAATTGCTGGTGTGAATAAATGTAACAAATGAAAATGCATTTACATACAGATAAGAAAAGTACAATGGACATTGAAATTGAAAAACTTTATAAATGTCTCTGTTACATCCAATTGAAACTCTTTAACTTCTTAATATGAAACTGGGGAAAAATGGCATCCAAAGTTATGCTCCAGCCCATAAATTATGCATAAGTATGATAAAAATGGTCCTTGCAATTTAAACGAACTGGACAGTATATTGTGAAAAGATGTTTTGACTTTATTTATCCAAACAAAGGAAAAAATAGAAGATGTATACAATCATTTTAAGGCTGCAGTTTGACATATACCAACAGCGTATATGTCAAATAGCAGACAACACGAATTGAACCTGAAAAACTACTGATATCAGAAAAGGTTCTTAGCCTATATGTAAAACTAAGACGTTCTTTGATTTGACTCCTGCTGTTATATTATGATGGTGAAAAGTAAACAAAAAGAGACATTTACTGACCTCAGTTCAATAATAGCTGTGTCGTCAGCTGGAGCAGAGGGAGAATAGCGCCAGAAAGTTTGCCACAATTTTTCTATCAGGCTAAACTGAAGATTCACAACAACATCCACTATTGCCTAAAAAAATATAAAACAAGTGCAGATAGTCTTCTACCTCATCTCCCCCTTGCCCCAACTCCTCCCAGGGGTATAGCTCCCCCTGGTCTTTTTGCAGAAAAAAATAGTAAAATGTATGTTTATAAATAAACATATATCCGTTTTAATAACTTTTTAGCAACAAATTTTCCAACTGTCCCTACTAGTGTGGACAGAGACTGAGATCAGGCCAAATGCAAATACAAGGAAGCCTCCAGAAAAGAACCTAAGCACATATATCAGGTGAATTCACCTGAACAGAACTTTTAACACTATTACAAACACAAAGGAAACCTGCTATTTCATGAATTTTGTTACTTCATTACATGTTTTAAAGCACCTTCAACAATAATTTTAAAACACATTATTCAATATGAAATGTGGCCTTAAGTTCCTAAACAACCTGCTTCTTTAAAACTTGAAGAAAAAAGTAAGTTTGTTTTTAACATAAACATTAGAAATAACAATTTAATCTGATTTCAACTCCTATAAACAAAAACAAAACTCTGTATATATATTACCTAAAATTCAGTTTATCTAAAATTCTCAAAACCTACACATGATTACATTCCAGTATTGGTATTCTATTACATGTTATTTTCTTTCCCTGTAAAGAGAGAAATTCCAGAGAAGTCTTTTTGCAAACGTCCTTTCCGATGGAATAAGCAAAATATTTGAGGAGCACATCAGATACAAGTAGGTTGGCTGTAATGTGTTTTGTGTCAGTCATCCTGTTGTACTGATTCTCACTAGAAGACATGAATTTTCAAAGAATGATGATTTATGTGAAATGCCTCTTTTCTCTTACCTCACAGTGCTCTCGATAAAGACTTTGCAATGATTTTATGTCCTCAAGGGTAGTACCTTCTGGCAGAGAAGACATTTCAACTTCTCCAAACTCTGGAAGTACTCGAGATGCATCTGTTTCCATGACAACATAACAGAAGAAAGCTATTGTGAATGGTGCCAACTACAGTTCGATTAGAAAACATTTAAGGATCATGTAAAGAAATAAAGTCTAGAAGGTCATAATGCCCAAAGAGGTATGTCTTTCATATTTAATATGTTTTAAAGTTGCAATAAAATTGTGAACAAACCAGCTGGCTATTTTTTAAGCAAAAGGAGATGTTAAATTATTCTTGACAGATAGCAGATAAAAATGATTTCACATACATATTGTACCTGTATATAAAAAAAAGCTAATATAATATAATTAATATAATTTAATAGTTTTTGCTTTGATCAACTGAATAGTTTTTGCATTGTCATGCATGTTACGGTTTAGTAGACTCAGCAGCATATATTTATTTGAAATTTACAAGGCTTTCAACTGTAGCCAACATGTGCTTTTACCATTTATAATAAATGTTTCCAAGAGATACACTGGTATGGGGGGAAAAATGCACTGTCAACTGGGGGGGCAGTGGAAGGGAAAATTCAAAAACATGTGAACTATAGCTTAAGGTTCCCAATGATTTCAGTAACAGCAAGGTTAGGCCAAAGGATGTGGTGCTTCAAAATCCCAATATATGAACTCAAAACTCAATGTACAATTATTTCAATAACACATTTAATAAGCTTTTTTACATTAGCAAATTACTAAATGTGGGAATAAATGAGATAGTGTTTTACTTTGACGAGATGCAGCTGTGCCCTTGAGGCTTGTTACAAACAGGTTCACAGGAATGCAGCTGTGGCCTTGAGGCTTGTTACAAACAAGTTTGTGAAACTTAGAGGCAGAAAAATAAGGATGAGATTGGATACATCCCTGAAAGAGGAATTTGTGTGCACCAGCTTGAAGAACCAATAAGTAATGCTGAAGAGACGCGTGGACACAAGACAGTAGCCAATGAAATGGGTTTTGCTTGCTCATGAACACTAGAGCATATTATAAAAGGGATAGATTGTAAAAATAAAGTGTCTTCACTTGTCTTCGCCTAAACTCATATGCGGAGTCCGTGTTTAATTGCCACAACTAAATTACCATTTGCTTCCACAACTGAGAAATCGATATGCTTAGTTACATCAATGAATGCATAAAATGCACATTTTTAAACACGAACCTTGGTTTTCTGGTTTTAACTGTTTGGCTCTTTCCATTCATAATGTTGCAGCACAAACTCAATGCACTTTCTTGTCAATGGTCAACACAACTGCAGTGCAAAAATATAATCCCAATTTCTGTCCATATTCAAAAAATTGGGAACCCAGTAGAAATTAATAATCTTTTAGGGCAAGATTTTCAGTATGCATTTTTGTATAAAATGCTTCATTGCAATTGCATAATAATAATATACAATGCAAGTAGATTTTGTACATTTTTTCTTTTATATCTGCATGATACATATTAAATATTGCAGATCTCTTACAATATACAACATATAGCTTCTATGAGTATCTTTTTGTTCTGTTATCAGTGAGAGTTTTAAACAGGGCAACATAACTAAAATAATTATTGTATTTGTATGACGATGTTCATGACAATAATGGGGTTTATTTTATTTATACAACAGTATAACACATCTTTTCATACCTAAAAACTGTTGATGATGTTGACTTTGGGCAATTATAGTTTGTTCAGCAGATGTGCCTGTTTGTTGGCCACTTCCTGTGAAACCATCTGCAACTCCATCCACTTTCTGCACAGGCTTGTACCTGCAAAATTATCAAATACAAAATTATTCTTTATGTTCACTTTTTTGTAAGTGCAATGTCACACTCTGTTCTGCCTGATTTCTCAGTCTCAATATACAGTTTTGCTAGTTCACACACAAGAAAAAAGTAACATCAGAATAATTGTAGTAAGGAAAGGTAGAACATTGGCAATGCATTATAAAATTCATAAAGCTGATATCACAGCACAACTACCAATTTCTTGTGGAATTTAGTTTAAGAACTATACCACTAAGACCTAAAGGTCATTTACACTAAACAGAAACACAATCTTTCCTTTTCCAAAGGACTTGCCTTCCCAGGAATCAAGTAGCTGAAAAATAAGGTTTAATCACCTTAAGAAGGGCCATGTATCTGTTTGGAGACAAAAGAATTTGAATAATTTTAAAATGTAACAAAATTCTCATGAGCTCAGAAGGTCTGAGAAGGCTACTTAGACTTACACTAAGTAGCTGAACCAGGGGAGGTTCAGACTTGATATTAGGAAGCATTTCTTTACTGAGAGGGTAGTCAAACACTGGAACAGGTTTCCTAGAGAGGTGGTCGATGCCCCATGCCTGTCAGTGTTTAAGAGGCATTTGGACAATGCCCTTAATAACATGCTTTAACTTTTGGCCCTGAAGTGTTCAGGCAGTTGGACTAGGTGATCATTGTAGGTCCCTTCCAACTGAAAATTATTCTGTTCTGTTCTGTTCTGTTCTGTTCTATTCTATTCTATTCTAAACTCTTCATCAGTCAAGTCACAAAAGCTTTTATAAAGGATAAAAAGGACAAAGATACAAATAGGAATCCTGGTTTGGATGGTCAGATGTTAAGACCATCACACTGACAGGCTGAAGATTCTGCCTGCCATCTCCAACACAACTGAAAATTAATTCTGACCCAGCTCTTAGTGATAAGGACTTGGAAGCTTTGTCCTTCTGAAATAGCCTTGCAGCCAGAAGAAAACTAGAGAAAATTTGGTGCAGAATGCAATGCATGTGAACTGTCACTCAAGTCTGAAATTGCACTGTGCAGCTTGTAAAGCTTTGTATTAACTTTAGAAATGTCAACAAATTCCACTCTGAAAACGCTCCTCTTAAGCAGTTGAGTCAGCTGTGAGCATGTTCTCATTTTGATCTTATTAAACAGATAATAGGAATGCCCTATGTAACTACTTATATTTTAGTTTATGAGAAAGCTCCCATAAGAAGCAAGATTCTGGTCATTCCAGACATATTTAACTATACAATAACATAGAACATGGGATATACAAGAAGTATACTTTTCCAGAGAAGGCCTCTTGGCCTGATTAACATAAAGTATGATAACTTTAGGAATGTTAATACTTGGAAACAAAAACTTCTATCATCTTAATCTCTAGGACTTTTATATGAAGCCTGGTTATTGTAAAGGCCCAGGATAAAATCCCAGGCCTGTTGAAATCAATAGCACAACTGTAATCAACAGCACAACTGTAATCAACTTTAAAAGACTAAAGTTTAATCTCTAGTATCACAGTAGCATTGAACTCTTATGGATAAACTTCTCATCACTTGATAGATCTATTTGCAGTCCAAAACCCCTCATTTTGTAAGAATTTTTAACTTTATTCTCATTATACTTTATCATTAAAAATACCTGGCAGAAGATCAGTTTCTATATATATTTGCAAATCAAAATCAGTATGTTCACATAGTTCCACTAGTTTCTACAAAATGTATTCTTTCACAAACTTTTCAGCTCTTGGAGTAGAATCCCAAGTGCCTTGAATGCATAAAAGTAACAGTCCTTTGAGTTTCTGGGGTTTAGAAAGAACTTTAAAAAAAAAAAAAGCCAACTTAATCCACTGGTGCTAGGAGTCAGGATTATCCTATCAGTTGCTCCAATGTGCTTCATGTAAAAAACATTGGGGAAAAGTCTTAATTCTGGCATTATTACAAGTGACATTATAGGAGTCAAACAGTTTCAACGGCATTAGAAAATAACTTGCAAAATGTAACCGAGGAATGAAAAAAAGAAAAGATTCTTTTTCAGGTCTTTCAAATGAAACTTGAGCAGAGTTGTTAACAATTTTAGATTTCCTGTCTTTTATGGGCAGTAGAGGGTGACATTTTTGCAGTTCAGGCAATGAGAGGCTTCCAGAATTCCTGGCAAAATCCTCTGTTTATACCCAGGCTACTCTTTGCATTTTTAATTACAGACAGGGGAAAATGTTACTACAACTGATTTACACAACTACTTAATGGAAGAATTTAGCTTTTTTTAAAATTATCTGACCCTTTTTCCTATTTCAACTCTGAGTTTTCCAATTATTTTTTTTTTAATTAACTGCTAAGAGAAGAGGCACTGAAAAAAAAATAACCAACCTTTTAGAAATATAACAGCTTTCAAAAGATGCTTAGCTTTACTCAAGAAGAATAGAACTTTAATTTTATATAGCTAAAAGTAAGCACAATAAAAGTTTGGAGAGTCTTTAGCTAATAACAAACATTCTCAAGTTTTGAAAAGTACGGAAATCCAACAGAACTAGACCACTGAAATATGAACATGAAATTAGTTAATTCAAAACCCAAAGCAAAATGATGTGTTTTTCTCATTATTAACATAATTTACAGAAGAACTTAATTGATTCCCATAGTCCAATCCTACACACTGTAATTAAACTGAAACTTCCCACTCACTCCTCAGAAAAGTTTAAGAAATTTTGACTAAAATTTGAAAACAGCAACCATTCAATAGTCATCAATAAGATAAAGCAGAAATAGGAAGGAGTACATGCCAAACTTCCTGTTTGGTATTAAATGGACACAAAAGTAAGCAAATGAATAAGAAAAAAGTAGAAACTACTAAAAAAGAAAGTCATCAAAATGGATTGACTAAGTCACAAGGCAAAGTAAAAAAACGTCTAAGTTTTTCTGCAAATTTTGTTGCTTCCTTGTAGTTGCCGTGCTGACAATATTAAAATATTTACTGAGACTCTCAATATTTAGTATTACCTCAAAAATCCAATTCATGCACTTACATAATTTATTGGTAGGCTCTGTTTTCATTAAAAAAAAAGGCTTATACTGTTCTGGCTTGCTGAAAAATAAACTCTAAGGGCTTTAGAAACAGAAACCAAACTAAGCTCTAATAATGTATTAGGGTTTTTTCTTTCACTTTTATTCACCAAAATATTTGGTTTTGATGTTACCTTTTTCTATTCTTAATCATCTTTTTTTGTGAGATCCATTTACTATTCACCGTCACACCTGTGTTTGACCCAGAACTGATAGATAATTTCAGGGAACTACAGGCCGGTCAGCCTCACCTCAGTCCTGAGAAGGTGATGGAGCAGCTAATCCTGGGAACCATTTCCAAATACATGAAGGACAAGAAGGTGATTGGGAGTAGTCAGCATGGATTCACCAAAGGGAAGTCATGCTTGACCAACTTGATAAACTCCTATGATGAAATGACTGGCCTGGTAGATGAGGGGAGAAGCTGATGAAATATGGGCTAGATGAACAGACAGTGAGGTGAATTGAGAACTGGCTGAATGGCTGTATTGGGTTTACATGGCAAGGTTTTGATAGCGAGGGGGCTGCAGGGGTGGCTTCTGAGAGGAGACACCAGAAGCTGCCCGCATGTCGGACAGAGCCAGTTCCAGCCAGCTTCAAGACGGACCCGCCGCTGGCCCAAGC